CCGACGTCTCCCAGGGTGCAGTGCTGCGGGAACTCGGGCTTTAGATGTCCGGCCTCAGACCTGGGGGCTGAGGCGTCTGCCAGCCCCCTAGTGACCGCAGCCTAGGGAAGTTTCAAAGGCGCTGACGGACGAGACCCCCAGGTGCCATGGACACTCAGTGGGAGGGGCAGGATCCCCCGGGTCCCTAAAGCCCTGTTTCTCACCACTTCATGTGGTGGCTGGGGTGCACCGCAGCAGCAGCCATGCCTGTGCCGAGTCTGGCTCTGCAGTCACGGCCTGCTGCTTCTCTCCCTGAGGCCTTTCTTGGTGGCACTGGGGATTGAGCCCAGAGCTACGCCCACCTGGGAGGCTTTGGCCTCCTGTTTGTGACATCTGGGGCATTTGGTGGTCACACTTGGGGGTGATGGCATCTAAGGCCGGAGCTTGGGGTCGCCCTGAGCACCAGCAGTGCACGGGACACAGACCGAGCCTGCAGTCGGGGGGTGGGGGTCTGACTTTGAGGACCGGTGGTGACACAGAGGGGACAGGGCTCCCGTACGACAGCCTGGGAGGGGTGGGGGCTTTGTGGAATCTGTGGGGGGCATGGCATGGTGAGTTCAGGGGGCTGGGGTCCTGCCAGTGTCCCTTGCTGTGATGTTCCAACCTCTGTCTGCAGTGGTCTGATGCTCAAGAGGTAGGAGTTTCCGGTTACTGTAGGGGTGGAAGACACTGCTCCTTCCCTGTAGATCGGGCTGGGCTAGGGCATCAGCGGATCTCCAGGACCTTTGCAATGAGTCCCAGAAGTGACATCTAACTTGCTTTGAAAAAGTGCATCTTCCATAAATAGCAAACTTGGCAGAAAAGCTGGATGAGGTCTCATGATTATATAAAAACTAGTGTTCATTTTACATAAAATGTCAAGCCGGTCTTTAAATAGCAGTCTCAGAAGCACAAGCCATTTTATTATCCATTAAGTCATTTAGCATCCAGGATACAATTTTCCAAGTTATTTTCCCCAGAGGCTTGCTGATATACAGCCTTCCTGCAGAATGGGTGGCGGGAGACGCCGTCGGGAGGAGTCTCCCGCAGTGGTCGCTCGAGCACCGCCCGCACCTCGAGGGAGACGCAGACATCGACAGCGAGGTGAGACGTCGAAAGCACACCTTTGGGGGCGCTTGAGAACTCTGCCTGTGCTCAGTGCCGTTCAGCGAAGCTCTCACTTACGCCTCGTGGTTGGTTCTCTGGCAACTGCAGTCACGGATGCACGGTTGTGTCCCCATGCTGGGCGGGTGCGAGATGCCATGCTGTCCGCCCCGCCTGCGCCCTCTGTGCCAGAAGTGCCCGTAGGACTCAGGGAAGTGTGAGGAGAGCCAGAGGTGGCCCTGCAGGGCCTGCAGCAGCCCCCGCTGCCAGCGAGCTCCAAGGGGCACGGCCGTGGACAGAGGAGCAGACGCTGCAGTCTGAGGTGCTGTGGCCTGGGCTGGCTGGGGTTGTGGGGCTTCTGCCCAGAGTGCTGGGGTCCTGCCCTGCCCTCCTCTGCCGTGACGGCTCCTGGGGACCTGCTGCTTGGAGGGGACATGGACACTGCGGAGGGTTCCGAATCCCTTCGGTGAGGCTGCAACACCACAGAGAAACCTTGAATCCATCCAGAAATCAAGACAGGCAGGAGGGAAGTGAGGGTTTTTATCAGGTGTGATAAACAGTATGGTGAATGCTGCTGCCGAGCACCACCCAGTGGAAGAGCAGGGTCTAAAAAACCTGACACTTCGTCCTCATCCACCGCAGTCACTGGATCTGGACAGCGTGACTTCTGGCTCTTCCCCAAGGGCAAAATGACCATGAGAGGGAAATGTTTTTAATCGATTCAGGACATCAAGGCAGCCAGGACAGCACAGCTAAAGACCCTCAGGAAAGAGGACTCCAGAGCTGCTGCAGGAAGTGGCAAGGACGATGGGAGGAGTGTGCGCAAAGCCAGGGGGAGGGCTCTGAGGGGGGTTCGTGGCAGTGTGTCTTTCAGCACAATAACTGAAAAAAATTATATACTCATTGTAGTTTTGATCATACCTCTTACACCAGCGGCCTCCCTTGGGTCTCCCAGGAGTAGATCTCCCTGCATTCCAGAGCTTTAGAGCTACAGAAGCAGTCTTAGAGATGGTGGAAAGAAAGTTCCAGTCCTCTTGGGAAAGCCTGGACCCCCCGGACGTCCCCGTGCAGTGTCACGGTACAGTGTGTGGTGCAGCTGGTCGAGGTGCCGTGTGTCAGGACGCTGATTCAGCACAGGAGAGGGTGACTGTGTAAACTGCCTTGTAGAGTGATCCAGCTCCCAGCTGGTGGCTGATGGGAAGCCGAGCCAGTCTGCCTCTGTCCATCCTTCCCGGAGACCCAAACACCTCTTAGGACCCTCGTAACAGAAGAACGATCCATCAACACAGGAAAGTTACCTCTCCAAAACCTCCCCTGCCTCACTTGTTGTTGAAGACCCTGGGTCCCCTTGTGGGTGACACATGTGGCAGTCCATGACTTGATCACCCCTTAATTCAGTGTGGTGAAATGAGGCAGAAAAATGCAAAGAACAAACACATCTAGAACTGAGAAATTTTGCCATTGTTACTGTGCTTGCCCCAAAATAAAACCTAGCTGGAAGCTCGAAAACTCAGCCTATCCTGGCCTTACCTGCCTTACAGAGCAGCCACTGAGCAAGAGAACAGTGACAGCAGGTGACAGAGAAGCAGGGAGGGAGATGGAGCTTCCAGGCCATGCCCCAGGGATCACCCCCTCTTCCACCAGGCCCCGCCTCCTCCCGCCAGGCCGCCTCCTGACAGCAGTCAGCTCGGAGCTCAGAGTCCTGGCGCTTCCCCCCAGAGTGCTGAGGTCCTGCCCTGCCCTGGCTCCCCTCACAGGAGGAGTCATTGCTAAAATGCCCTTGCTGGCTGGAATTCCAGTTTACCCAGGCACCAGGCTGTTAAGGGCAGCCCCGCCTCAAACATCTGACCAGACACCGTGGACGCCGCTCTTGGGGACGCAGTGCCACTGCTGCCCGTCACAGACGCCTCCTTTCCAGGCCACCGTGGACAGGGCAGGGCCACGCCACAGAGAGCTGGGAAGAACGGGGCCCGGGCCTCTGCTCACGTCAGACCCACTGCAACTGCGCCACCAGCAAATTAAAATCAATTGAAATCAATTTAGCTGGATGAAGTCTCCCTCCTGGCTGCGGCTCATCTGCCGCCATACCAGCGCCAGCAAGGAAACAGGTGCTTGTAAATTAATTAGCCTCCCGCAACACACCTTGAAATGCGCTCCCCAGCACTCCCTGGCAGGGAGCCACCCTGGCCCCTGAGCTGATCAGCGTCTGTAAATATTGAGATTTGATAAAGTGCGGCTGCTCTGGCGGCAGATGGCTGGGGACGGTCGCTGACACAGCCAGAGCGCACGGGAAGCCTCTGCCGCGGCCTCCTCTGGGACCGCCGAGGGCCCGGCCCCTCCACAGCTATTTGCCTCCTAATTGAAAATCCTTATTCCCAGATGGAGCCGCGCGTGCGTCTGCGGCGAGGCACCCGGCGCTGCTTGACTGTTGATACACGGGTAATTGCTTTCAGTAATGCAGGTTAAATGTGACATTTAGTGCTTAATAAAAATTATCAAGGCCAAAGCCGTTTATCATCCTCACACTTTGGGCTGTCACTGCCAAGGGCGACTCTCCATTCATCTGGTTTCCAGGAGGAGCGGCGCTCTGCTGCCGCCCCTGAGAAGACCACTGCTTCGCCACGCCTTTACCTTCCCTTCTCCCTTCTCACTGTTCAAAGATTTGTTTGTCAACAAAAGCACCTGCCGCGAACCCCAGGCGCGGGGTGCTGCTGCTGGCTAGGTGGCGTTCGGCACGCAGCTGAGACACGCACGCGGGCTGCGCTGCCCTCGAGGGGAGGGAGGTGCTGGGCTCCTCCTCCAGCAGTACCAAGGAGCGACCCGGAGGGAAGGAGGCTGTGCAAGGGGTCGTTGGGTCTCCACTGGACACAGGAAATCAGGGAGCACAGCTGTGCACAGTGGGGCGTGATGGCACAGGCCTGCAATCCCGGCACTTGGGAGGCTGAGACAGGAGGATCACTCTGAGTTCAAGGCCAGCCTGGGCTACATAATGAGTTCAAGACCAGCCTGAACTATACATAGTGAGGCCCAGGCTCAAAAAACAAATAAAAAAGCTGATGTTCCTCAGTGTAATCATGTGTCATATGGACCTTGGAAGAAGCCACTTTCTGGAAATAAACAAGAGCCCCAGAGTGAACCACTGAGCCCCCAGGATGCCCCAGATTCACACAGGTAGCAGGAGCAGGGCTTTGGTGTCCCTGAGTGGCCTGTCCCAGCAGGACACCAGTTGTCCCCAGGCCTGCTGCAACCCACCCCTAAGTGCCCACAGCGTTTAAGTCAAGGAAAGCGGATTGGTTCAGAATCTGTGCTGCTCTGGACAGGAGGAGGCTGAGGAGGCCGGAAGTCAGGATGAAGGCGCAGAGCTCAGTGCAGCCCCACCGAGGTCTGTGTGCTCCCTCTGGCAATCAGCTTCCTGCAGGATGTCAAAGGGGGGACGTGGCCAGCGTCCACCATAGAGAGTACACGGGCCAACAGAGCGCCTCGCCCTCCTCACTTCCTGCTGTTTCGCTGGGTCCCTGCGGGGGAGGGGAGGACGTCCCAGGTGGGCTGCGGCTGCGCCCCCATCACCTGCACCTCTGCTGCCCCGCCGTGCTTCCGCTGAGCTGCTCGCCGTGCACGTTTCTACCCCTGTACGCTCCACACCATCGTCTCAGCGCTGGCCGGTGCAGTGCTTATGTCTGCCCCGATGTTCAAGCTTTAAATGGACATTTAGGATGTTTTTAATGCTTGACAATTATACACAAGCCATCATAAATGACACTGTATAGATTACCATATAAATCCTTGTGTATTCTTGATTCTCTTTTTTTTTTTATTTTTTGCTGGCAGTAGGAATGGAACCCAGGTTTTCACACTGAAATACATCCTTGGCCCTTTTACATTTTCTAGTTTTCATTTTGAGACAGGGTCACTCCATCTCAAAGTTGATCAGGCTGGGCGTGAACTCACAATCTTCCTGGCCCGCCCTCCCGGAGTGCTGGGATTCCAGGTGTGCGCCACCGCGCCTGGCTTCGATTCGCTTTTTAGGGCATATTACAAGAGGCGGTGCTGCCCTTCCTGCAGGTAGGGAGCGTCTGCTTGGTGAGACACAGAAGACCTTTGCCCCATTTCCCACTGGCCTGGCATGCACGCCCTGCCCATGCTGAGAGTGAGCAGATCCTGTGTCTGCCAGCTTGGTGGACGAGAAAGGGTGCCCCATTTTAATTAACGCCTCAGTAATCGCTGGAGAAATGGCGCACCGTCAGGGACTACTGGCTGCTGGTATTTCTACTTTTCCTGTGGGTTCTGCGCACAGTCATCCAGGCCCCGGCTCGCATGCTTGTGTCACCTGTGGAAGATGTTTTCACCTGGACTGTCGTTTCATGTTGACTTACACTTATTTTCAGGAGACAGAAATATTTTTGGTCACCAAATCTACCAAACCTACCTTGTGTCTGCCCCCTTTAATGTGGGAAAGAAGTGTGCTCACACCAGATGACACGGCGCCCTCTGTACTTTTTCCTACTGGGTGATGGAATGTTTTGCGTTTAACCTGTCCATCCACTGAGGTACAGTGTGACACGTGGAGTTTGGGGACCTCCTCTCTTCTGCAGGTGGCCCATCCCCTTCCGGGACTCTGTACAAATTCCCCGCCTGCACTGGGGCAGCACGCAGGACAGATGCCAACCCGGCCTCCTTCCCCTTGGGGCCTCCCTGGGCCTGTAGCTGTGCCCTTGGGCCGACTCACAGCACCACGCACTCCCAGTGTCCACCGGCTCCTCAAGGCCCTTGAGTCGCTTCTGCTGAAGACATGACATGGGTTCGCAATGACGTCCCTACAGGACGCCCCGGGCCGTGTCCCAGCCACTGTCTACCCGACGCTCACATGAGCCAGGCCTCCTGGGCCTCACGCAGGGCACCCTCCAGTGCCCCTCTTGGAAGCCTGGGTTTGCCTGTGCCCTGGGAGATGCTGTGCCCAAGGTCATGGGGTTGGAAGTCAGAGGCAGGGTCAGCACGTCACTGTTTGTCACCAGGACAGCCCTCATCCCAGGTGTCTGCTGTCAGGGGCACCCCCTGCCCTCCTCGAAGACAGGCGTGGTGTCTGTGTTTGGACACAGCTGTGCTGTGCTGAGCTGGTGTGGAAATGTTAAACTTAGATGTCTGCCCCACCTCTACGGGCTAACACCTGCATGAAATGTGTAAGGCCTTGTCTAGGTGGGTTTGATTACAGATTAATCAAGTATTCTCCAAAGAATGAAAAAAATAAGAACCCACAGGAGAACTCCTCTTGTGCACCAGGAGAAGCTTAGCCCTCTAAGTGACCGGTTGGTGCTGCCCCATGGACGCTGAGGACCACGGAACTCTGTGAGTGAGTGCTCAGTGAGTGCTTCCTCATGGATGACGCTCTCATGCATCCGAAGACAAGCAGAGAGTCTGGCTGGCCAAGGACTGGGTAACACCAGCGTGGGCTGGAACACTTAGGACACGGGCGGGGACACACAGGGAAACTCGAGTCTGCCTGGCTCCAGAGCTCTCACGCTAGGAAGAGTGAAGCTGGTACCCGTGAGTGTGGACACACGTGTGTATGCACAGGCATGTGTATGTTGAGAGTGGGCGTGTGCCCATCGTGTGGCTGTGCTGATGGACTCTCCCGGGTGTCCGGGGGCACTGAACTTGTGCACAGATACTGGAGTGCAGAGCACTGCTGTCCATAAGAAGTTCAGAATGGCCCAGCACGTAGATGGGGGGACCACCGGGAGGCCTAGCGGACAAGATGCCTGCCCTGGGCAGTCTGAGAGCCCAGCCATGTCACCTGCCCCATCGTAACCCAGGGTGCGTGGCCCAGCTCAGAGGAGGGTGCTCGGGACGGTCCTCGCCCAGCTTACCAGGGAGTCCGTGGTCCCCTCAGAAGACCCCAGAGCCTGGAGAGCTCCTCCTGGAGGCCCCTCCGCCAGCGCTGTGGCTCAGTACCGGCCGCTGTCCACACCCTCTCCTGTGCCAGTCTCCACCTGCTGTCTGGACCAAGGAAGGAAGGGCAGGTAGGGCTGTCCTAGTGCCGCAACAGCTTCCTGGGCACTTGGTGGCTCCAGCCAGGTGCTGCACACAGGCGGGGGAAACGCACTGACAAAGTTGTGCAGACTGGAGGCTCCTGGCTGGCAGAGGGGCCGCGTTCCCCGTGTCTCTGCGCAGCGGACAGCAAGCTCTCTGCTGTGTCCTCTTAGAGGGGCATGGGGGCCTCATCTACCCGAATCATCCTGAACTCCATGACTCTGGGGTCAGGGCTCCCACACGAGTTCTGGGACCCACACATTCACCCCTCTGGATGCTATGTGGCTGCCTCTGTCTGTACCAGGCCCTGTGGCCACCCTGCCCTCACCGGCTCTGGGCTCCAGACGCAGTGTGGTGTGGCTGCCTGGAAGTCCGGCATTCATGTGGACCAGGAGACGTGTGCAAGTCACTGCAGGATGCCACGGCTGGGAGCCTCCCAGGACAGGCAGGAGCAGCACGCACTCCGTGACAAGGGAGTTGCCTTGCTGCGGGTGTGCGGGGATCATTGTTGTGATGGACAGTTAGGAGCCATCAGTGGTGCCACACCTAGTTTTCTGCTCTGTCAAGCCCTCGTTTGTGACAGCACAGCTGTGTCCACCGTGTGGGGGCTCCCATTCTGACTCTAGGGGGTGGGAGGAGGCCTGCGGGCGGCATGTCCAAACACTGAAGCTGAGGAGCGTCCTGCGTTTCCCTGCTTGGGGCAGGGTGAGGGGCAGGGACAGTGGCTGCCAGCGTTGCGCTGGGCGTGGTGGGGGGCTGGGTCCTGATCGTGTCAACCACCAGCACCGCTGACTGAGCGGAGCCCCTGCCTTCTGGTCTGACCCAGATCTGAGCACTGTCCATGCACGCCTGCAGATGCGGCTAACTCCGGCCCGAGTTCTGGGCAGAACCGCAGCGTTGCCTGGGTCCTGGCCTGGCCTCGGTGGAGACCTGGTCCTGAGCTGCTCAGGCTCCGCCTGTGCGGGGAGGAAGCCGAGAATGCAGCAGCAGCAGCGGGCAGCAAGGCAGGCCCTGAGCAGGAGGGGCTTGGGATTTACATTTCAAGAACCGCCTGGGGTCCCGCCAGACAGGGCTCATTAATTTAAGACAGTTGAACCTTGGAGAGTGGAGTTCACAATTCAATTATGGAGGGAGATAATCTTCCCCGGGGTGGCTTATTTAGCTTGTGGCTTTTAATTAATTCTGCTCAGCCAGGGAAGGCTGCAGAGCGTGCCTGGCCTGCTCTCGGGGCTGCGGCCCTGGTTTTGGGGATGCTTGGTGCAGCATCCGGCCTTGCCATGCTGCTGCCCTCTCGGGTCCTGGTTCGGTCCCTGCTGCGGGGCTGTGTCCCACCCCCAGAATGTGGCCGGCAGCACCTCCCCCTGTCCTGGCTGCCACACTGGCTCGCAGGGTGTCAGGTCTGCTGCAGCAGTGCCTGCCGTTTCTGTGTCCCTGCACACACATGCCCCTCCAGGAGTCCCCGCCCTGCTCAGAGTGCCCGGGGCCCTTGGTCCTACTCTCGTCCTCCCGCCTGAGGGAGGGGAGACTCCTCGGCCCTTGCAGAGTGGTTAGGTTCAGAGATGGCGGGGGCACCAGAGTGGACTCTCAGGAGCAGCGCAAAACAGCGATGATGGTCTTTCGGGAGAGGGGCGTCCCCTGGGGACGCACGTCACCACAGGGTGCTCCTCTGTGTCCATTTATTCATCTGTGCCACGCTGTGCGTCAAGGGCCACACCACAGGAGCAGCTGGGCAGGGCTGCGGAAGCAGCGCAGGCCTCAGGGAACTCTCTTTTGAGCACCAGAACCGACCTTAGGGGAGCCGGCTTGGTCTCTGCCATCCTCTTGCCCCATCCCCTTGGGAGCTGGTGTAGGAGCCAGGGGCGGGGTGCAGGGTCTGCTCCCCACCATCTGGGTGGATGTAGTCAGGGTCCCAGCCTTTGGGGTGGCGTGTAGGCCTGTCTGTGCCCCCAAGCCTGCAGGGACTGTGCCTCAGGACATTCAGGACTAGCGCACGGGGTATCGTTGGGAGCACGATGTCAGCACCAGATCCCTGGACCAGCCAACTGTGGCGGGGACAGCAGCGGCAGGGCAGCGTGGGGACGGCCGCAGTCCTCGGGGGCACCCTTTCTCTGCGAGTAGACGTGGGGGGTGATTCTATTCCCAGAGAGGAGTGAGCTGGGGTTGTGAACGTCATCGAGCTTGAGGCGCCTGGGCTGATGACCACGGCAGCCCTGACCGTCCAGCGGGCTGTGCGGCTCTGATCCGGCCCGCAGAGTCCAACTACACGGAACCGCAGGGCCCCTGTCCCCAGCACAGACCAGAGCTCGGCAGTGTAGCACTGGTCCGTGTCCCAGATCTCACAGGAACCAGGCTCTGCTTCACTGCACACATGCGTGACACATATGTGTAAAGCAGGTAGGTGGCTTCTCACAACCAGCGTGAAACTACTGCTTTGACTTTTTTACTGTGGTAAAATATACACAAAATTAAAATGACCATTTAAACTCTTTCAAGCGTAGAGTTCGGTGGTGTCAAGCGCATTCACGTTGTGCACCCTCCCCGCCACGGCCTCCGTCCTCCCACGCTGAGAATCCACACATCAGACGCTGCCACTGAGCCCGTGCCCTGCTCCACTTCTTGGCTCTCTGACTTCAGTGTTCTGGGTCCTCCAGCCGGAGATGGGTGGCATCCACCCTGGGACGGCTTACCACACCCTCGCCCACGCTGCGGCCCGTGGGAAGGTGCTTCCTGGGCAGGGCTGAGCGAGTTCCACTGTGTGCTTGGAACCGCTTCCTTTTCCACTTGTGCCAGCCGGCCTGGGTTGCTTCTGTCCTTTGCCTGCTGTGCACAGGGCACCAGCGTCTGTTGTCCCCAGCTTTGATTCTTTCGGGTGGAGATGTACGTTTTGCTTTTACTTCCAAGGACTTTTCACTGGAAATGGGAGGCCTCTTCGTGAGGTTTCAATTTAAAAAGTGTTAAGACACAGTGTGCCAACTGCTCTGCTCAGCATTGTCAGTACAAAGGTCAGGCCGCCTTGTGTGGACCCGAAGGACACTCCTGGAGGAGGGAGAGTCCCTGGAGGCTGCTGCAGGGGGACAGTGGGACTGGCCAGTTCAGGAAGCAAAGCAGACATCTCCCTGACTGTTATCGACCTGGACCCAAGGGACCCTGGTTATGAGCCAGGGAATGAAAGTCCCACAAGGGCACGAGGAGTTTGGCTGGCTGCTTTTGGGTCTTGCATCTATCATAGGTGAGGAAGTTTCTGGTCCCGTGCCGTTTCTTTCCGAGATTTGTGCTCTTGTCTTGTTGGAGAGAATCCCCCGGTGTCTTTCTCAGACAAGGTGTGGAAGTAAACTTTCTGAATGCCTGTGTGTTTTGAGTGTCTTTTTCGAGGTCCTTTTGCCTATAGTTTTGAACACGTTGGCCTGTTACCTTCTAGATGCAAGCCAGTTGTGATAATCTGATTTTCTTTCCAGTGACTATATTAGGAGCAGTGACCAAACAAAATCTAGGCCAGTGGATTATGAGCAGGGTTTTGCCAAAGAAAGATTCTGCATTTTTTTTTTTTGTCTTTTTGAGATAGGGTCTCGCTATGCAGTTCAGGCTGAACTTGAGCTCACTTTGTAGCCCAGGCTGGCCTCGAACTTGCAATGATCCTCCTGCCTCAGCCTCCTGAGTGCTAGGATTACAAGCGTGCACCACCATGCCCAGCATTTCTAAACAATGTGCCACAGGGACCCCCTTCCACTCAGAGGCGGCACTTGGAAGGCACGTCTGAGGTCTGAGGTCTCCGTGCCACTGTGTTCTGGGGACAAAGCCCCACGGTAGGCGATGGAAGAGGGGAGCCCACGGGGCTGAGGAAGAGGTGCCGTCCAGCGGGACAGGCAATGATGGTGAGATTGCAGCTCTAGCCGTGTGTGTCCAGGGCAGCGCTGGACACTGACACCCCTGGCTTGGCTGAAGAGCTGATGTTGCATTTTTAGTTTTAATTGAAAATTAATTTAAATACAGAGTCACGGGGGTCAGTGGCTCCTTGGGCAGCGTGGCTCCTTGCTGTGCTGTGCATGAGCCATGTGCGGGGCTCCGTGGCCAGGGCTCTGTGGCGGGGGCCTCATGCCCCCCGAAGCTCTTGTCTTTGGGGTTTAGGCCAGGGTGGCTCGAGGCTGCTTCCACCCCTGTTCCTGTCTGGGGAAGCTCCTCCGTCTAGCTGCTCTCTGTCCCGTGCCTGAGCTGCGCTACTTTATTTCTCCTGTGGAGCTCCAAGGAGATCCACCGAGCTCGCCTCGGTGGTGACTACGAGCGAGCGGTCTCCCCCATGCTCAGCCCGCAGGCCCCTCCCCTTGCTTCTCCTGTCACTCTGCAGGGCGGCCTCCTCTGCTGGTGGCTGGGAACAGGCGGTGGCGCGGTTCTGTCACTCCTCCCTGCACCCGGCCCGCTCTCCATCAGCTCACCTTCCCCTCGAACTCAGCACCGCTTTCCTGTTGTTGGCCCCGGCACCCCGGGTGCCATTTCCACCGTCTCAGCCCTGCCCCGTGCGGCCTGTGGCTGCAGCGTTGACGTCTTCACTGTTCTCCTGCGGCAGCTCAGCCTCCTTTGTTCTCTTTTTATCTGCTTATCATCTCCCACTTTCTCTCTGGCCTCAGAGTATCGTAACTTTCTAGGCTCCCTCAAGTGTGAAGGGCTCCTATGAAGTTTATTCTGTGCTTGGGGAAGCCTTCCCTCACTTCCACGTGCCACACTTCCACACGCCACACTTCCACACGCCACACTTCCACATGCCTCACTTCCACGTGCCTCACATCCACATGCCGTGCTTCCACATGCCATGCTTCCACGTGCCACACTTCCACACGCCACACTTCCACATGCCTTACTTACACGTGCCTCACATCCATGTACCACAATTCCACACACCTCACTTCCACATGCCACACTTCCACACACCACACTTCTGCAGACACTTCAGATCTCTCTCTCTGGTTCCACCTCCCGCAGGGGTCATCCTGGTCCAGCAGAGGTCACTGGCCCCTCTGTGCCATCGCCGGGCCCTGCCCTGGCCTTGCACTTCCTGTGTCCCGACCACCTGTCTGGCCCTGTGTTCTCACTGGGGGTGCGACCAGCCCTTCAGCCAGGTACCCAGTTCCCTTCTTCCTGCTCTCAGCGTACCCAGGCCTGCTCCCTGCTCTCACTAGCCACCAGCACAGAGGACGTGACAGCCCAGCCTGGACCCCTCTACCTGCTGCAGCTCTAGTGAGCAGGTCCCTGCATCTTCATCCATTCTGAGAGGCTGCCTGCCTGCCTGGCGTTTCTCACAATGTGGGCACTGTTCCTGGAGCCACCATACCAATAACATCTCTACTTTTGCTTCTTCTAAAATTTTTTTTTAGGACAAGCTTTCACCATGTAGCCCAGGCTGTCCTCAAACTTTCCATTCTCCTGCCTCAGCCTCCCAGGTGCTAGGATTACAGGTGTGTGCCACTGCACATAGCTCTTGGAATTTTTA